TTGTTTATACTGAGGTAAAAAAGATTTTGGAATTGAGGGTCTATTAAAAGGTTTTAAGCAGAAAACATCCCATACTCAAAATTAATTGGCTTCAAGAAATAGTAGAAGAAAGTTTTTAAAGTGCTGTAAAATGTTTTAAAACAGTTTTTTATTCATCCAAACCATCCTCAGGTTTGCATTAAGAGATAATTTATAGGGAGGCTGATGAGTATTTACAAGAGAAATGAATGCTGGAGGATGTGCACCATCGATTATCTTCCTGAGTGAAACTAGGAATGGATATTTTAACAGCTCCAGTATAAAGAAATTAACAAGCAAATTATGAAAATATATATCAGTTAACTTCAACCCAAATGTTTTGGATGTTCTGTTCACATAACTCCTCTCATTCAGAAAGCTTATCAGCAGGGCAGCATATCTATTTCCCATGTAAATGCTATTTGGCTTCTGTGAGCAATACTATTGTTTAAAGGTTTGTAAAATAGAAAATGCAAAAACATTTTTTTTTTAGATTAAAGATGTTTTAGGTAGCTTCACACAGTTTAATAATTGCCTAAAATGCTTTGTCTACATACCAAATAAAGAGAATGAACTGTAACGTTTAAAAAAAAATGCTATGCAGCTTATCAGTCTTACCACTCATTATTTTAGAAATACTTTGTATATAATCTGAGATCTTGTCACTGAGACGTATGCAATGCAGCCTCTGTTAATATCTCAAAAACTTTACTGGCCTGTGTTTCATCATTTCCTTCTGCAAAGCATCCAGTATAGCAGCCGGGGATGCAAAATAAGTCCCAAGAGGAAGTTTGCTGCAAAGGTTACTAGACAGGGAATCATGCCGAAAAAAAGTGCCTATTATATAGAAACATTGCAAAAAACAAATGACCTCTTTGAATAAATGTAGTAATAAAACATGCAAACACACTCCCTCACTATGTGCCCTGTCCTCTCTCATGCACATATGCACACATACAGGCGTGCTCACTCTCACATAGTTTCTCTTCCTCTCTCTTTTAAACACACTCAATATTCAGCTCATATCCGGGTTGACAGTTCTGCACCACCTCAGACTCCAGCCACATGAATGAAGGAAAGAGGGACAGGGAATCCCCATGTCACTCATTATGAAACTCTCACACACACTTTACACCGCCAGGCAAGGTTAATGTACACGATCAGTGGGGGTGAGCAAAGAAGTCCGTTGGCGGCAACAGGGAAAAAGAAACATTAAAAAAAGGAAATTAAGATGATGTTGAGCAATAAAAATGGACGCTTTTTTTTGAATCTACAAGTTTTGCATTAAACAAAAAATTAAGTCGGACCCTATGAAAATAGAAAAACAAAGTCTTAAGAGAAAACATTTTCTAAATTCAACTTTCAATATCGTTTAATAGTGAGAAGAGAATGATCGTTTTTCATCTAACAAATTATATATGTCTCTTTAACTGCCCTGTGCAACAATAATCACAGTAATTCAAGCAAATAACTTTTCCAGTTGAAAACTCAGAGTCCACTTATGGCTTTTTACCAACTAAAAATAAGAAGATACCTCCAGGATGTTTTAATATGGCCACTTTCATTCTTATAGGTTTAGGCACTATACCTGAAACCTAGGGGTCTAATGATTCATCCAGCATCACAATACCGGATTTAAAGACGACCAGGTAAGATTTGTTTCTTATCGAATCTTTGTACCGTTTACTGATAAAAGGGATCAGGATCAATCAATATCACCGTATTTATTTTAGGTTTTTAACCACAGGAGCAAAACTGCCATTCAGATGTGGTGAAATAGCAGATTGCCGTCAATAGAAATCTCTGTTCCTGATTCTAACTTTAGTATAGTTAGAATAAAACATTAACCAGCCATGGTTCTTTTTTTCTTTTTGCATCCTTTTCCACATCCTGCCTTATTTCAAATTAAAAGTCTCATACACATTTACAAGATTTCAAACTTAAAGCATTCACTATCCACTATCCAACCCAGAGCTCATGACATTAGCTTGGACCACAAACAGCTCCTGTATTGTGAGATAGATATTATTCTGTTCAGGCGAAGGCAAAAGTCAGGAAAGTCCACGTTTATTATTTTTATTATTATTATATTTTTACAACGAGTCAAACAACTTCTTGCAGCTGCAAACAAATAGCAAACAGGATATTTTTTTCATAATTTAAGCAGCCCTGTAACTGATTCTCCAAGTAACTCTTATTCTACCCTGATGTTTCTTGTGAGCTTTGCATTGTGGGGTCTAAAACAGGGCTGTTCACATGTCTGCTAACATCGAACAGAAGCTCCAACCACTAGGAGTCTGTTGATGTCATAAAAATAATATCTGATTTCTGAAAATATATAACAATTTCCATAAATAATTTCACAGCTATTACACTTTATAACTTATACAAAGTCAGTGCAAATTCCACAAAAGGCGTGGAAGTAACATCTTTTTGCTTTTGAAATAAGAAGAGATGGGAAGGGAATTAAGTGTTATATATGGCAGCCGATGGATGCAAATGCCATGCAAATACACAAATTTGCAGAAAATTCAAAAAGTCCTGCAAACACAAAAATGAGACTTGCAAAATGTCTGTGGACCAGATGTTTAATAAAAACAAACGGGATTGGTTAGGATAGGGGAGAAAGAAAACGTAAGTTATCCTCTTCATCTTTTGCAAAAGCTTTATCTCTCTGAGCATCCCATTTATGCTTTACTAAAGGTCCGTTCCCATGAGTCTATGATTGTTGCCTCCCCCTAGTGGTCTGGAGGACATCCATTATGAGGTTTGCAGCTTTTCTTGACTTGCAGTTGTTTTTGCTTGCAGGATTCTTTCCTTTAGACATATTGTGTTAGCATCATGTGTATTTGGAGGGGGTTTTGTGTTAACACCATGTTTGTACTTTGCATCTTTGTTGTTCTAATTTTTGAGTTTGCAGTACTTTTTAAATATGCTCTGAATTCCTTGTTTTGCGTAGCATTTGCACCCCCGTGCCACTGTAGCTAAAGAGCCATAACTTCTTACTGTGCCTCCAAGAAAGAAAAAAAATTCTACATCTATAAACCAGACCTGCTTGGACTTTATAAGCAATCCCAATCTGTTATTCAAAATAACAGCTTGGGCTCAATCTAACCTATCGTTTTCTTTGCTTCCTATCTGATAGAAAAGAAAAAAAGAGATTGAACTTCATTGATCTCACAATGGAGAAATTAAGGCTCTGCATTTAACCCATCCCCTTGGGGAGCAGTGGGCCACATTGTGCAGCTCCCAGGAAGCACTCGGTGGGTTAAGGGGCTTGTTTAGAGACCCAGAGTGGAGGGTGAGGGGATTGAACTGGGTACCTTCTTATTGCACAAGCGCACTGCTCTAAGCCACTAGGCCAGAACTACAACCCTTTGAGCATAGTTTTATTTTAGGTGTAGAGGCACACAGAGCACTCTTCTAAAAATCTGATCTGCATTAGGGGTGTGAGAAAGAAATTAGATCTGGCGATATACCGTGATATTTGGCTGCCTGATATAATATAGATTTTTTTTGTATACACAGAGTGTATACTAAACGAAATTTTGTTTTGTACAGCTCTCATGATTATTTCCATCTCCATTGAAATTGCAATATTGTGATAATATTGTATTGTGACCCAAGTATTGGGACAGATACTTTATCACATCACCCATGCCAATACTCACCGCTAGTCTGCATACAGAGATCTATAGAAAATACAGATATACTTGCAGTGAAATTTAACTCACATAGGCCTCAAGGTATAACTGATAGCTGAGCAGACTGGCAGGTATGAATTCACGCACAGCAGCAGCATTATAATGTTTTATCCCACACGACTTACTCCATCTCATTCTTTCAACACAGATGGCTGCGATTTGAAACCTTAAACTGTTAAAATTAGCTGGAACATATGAGCTCATATGACAGAAATATGAGAGTGGGGTTAAAAAAAATAAAAAGCATAACATAGCATCATGCTGCCACCATCATGTCCATAGTGGTTGATGTTCTACGACAATACTGAATGTTGGTTTTCCTTCACCTACAGCATTTGCCATATGACAAATAAGGTCTGTATTTGCTATCATCTTTCATGCGGCCATAAACATATCTTGCAGCCAACATCAAATAGAGCTTCAGCTGATTTCTGTGCCACCACAGGATTGTTCTTTGCCGCTATTTTGTGAAGGGCGGAGTAGAAGTAGAGTGAATAGTGACGTATGAATGCAGCTTTTGAAAGTTCTACTTTAAGCTCATAGAATAACTTCAAGTATTTCCTGAATTCCGTGAACGCACCAGTTTCCTAGCAACCGGAGAATGGATTTTCACGTAGGAGACGCCCTGTGCATTCCGATCTGAGCTTTCCCAGGAGGTGACACTCGCCTACCAAAATAGGCAGTATGACGTCGCTTTATAATACAGTTCCTACTAATATATATATATATATATATATATATATATATATATATATATATATATATATATATATATATATATATATATATATATATATATATATATATATATATATGAGATGAATGAAAATGGTTTGGTGTTTGCTGCATTGTGTTGAGCCATATAACGCTTCAGGTCAGGCCATTCAATAAAGTTTTTTAAAAAATAAAAAAGGAAGAGGAAGCCCGGCTTACTATCTCTGTCTGACATGACACCGCACACTTCCTTTTATCTCTGCAAACCGCCCAATACGCGTGAGTGAGCGCTGCACGGCCTCCAAAACCTTTCAGCTTTTCTAAAATCCATCTCTGACTGTCAAGTGCAAATAATATAAAATAGCTGAAACTGCTACTAAGTTGCAGCAAAAAAAAAAAAAAAAAAAAAAAAAATTTAAATCAAGTCAGCTGAATGCATCTTCAAAGTCCCAGGCAGAAACTGCTTCCTCATTTAGGCTTTGAAGGGACCACACAGCTGTGCAGCACTTATCTGAACTTTTTATGCGTTTAATTCATAGAACAAAATTGAGCTCACAGACTTACCTCGAGTCACCGGTGATCTGGCGCAACTTTTGCACATCTTTGCTGGTTTTTCTGTAGTGTGTGTGTTTTTTTTTTCATACATGTCAGCCAACTTTTGCGAAGTGCGCATTTACACCAGCATAACCTGACACAATGTCTTTCACTTTCAAACTTCTGCAGCTCAGAATAAAATTCCCCTGAACATGAGCTCCAGCTCATAAAACATTTGCGCGCTTTCTTCCTCTCTGTCCCATTTTTGCCTAACCATGACTACTTTACCAGCCTGCCTGCTCCGTTGCAGCTCCACCATTCATACTGATCTGCCTGACAGACTTGCAGAGTAATAGATTTTTTGCATTTATGGACACACCCACTGGGTCAGACCTCCCATTTGTCTAGCAATGAAGAAGGCTTGGTCATGAATGGAATTCTCTGGTTTTCAGATGAACAGTCATCCCACGCTCAAAAGCATGTAGACATACCGGACTTGAATAACCAAAAGGGTTACAGCTCCCTTGACACTGACTCTCACAAGAATTGGAAGGGAAATAAAAAATCCCCAAAACAGACCGTAAAACTGCAACCTTACTTAAAAAAACAAAAAAAGCTGTTTTGTCCTGACAAAAAAGCTGCTGCACTAAGACCATAATTTGCTAAACAAAAAACTTCAACGTTTTCAAATATTTGTATGCAACCAGAAAAAACTTCAATGTTTGTTAATGGGATGTAATGAGAGAGCATTCCATAGATGTAAGATGGAAGGATAAGATCATGTGAGAAATACTTAAAGGAATAGTACACCCAAAACATGATTAGCCTTCATTTTCTACTCACCCCCATGCTGAACAACACTCTGGAGTACTTTTTTGATATCTCAAATGCATCTGGAGATCTGGGAGGCTTCTTGCTGTCTGCTGACATTCAAATAATGGAGGTCTATGGTGTCCGAGACAGAAAGGTCCATAAAAGTCCACAAAAAACGTGTCAATATTCCTCCATACTGCTCGTCCAATGTATTCCAAGTGTCCTGAGTGGGTAGCATCCAGAATTTACTCGAAACGAAGTCATTTAGAATGTTTTTAGAGCATAAACAGTAGTGTATAGGATTTCCTAAAAGCGCGCACATGCGCGTTCACGAGCCTACGGAAGCTGGCAGACCAAACCAGATGAAAGTGCGCATTCAGCGTCTGCTCTGCCAATAATGCAAGCGTAGAAGAAGAAATGTGCTGTTTACCTGTGAAAAGAAAGAAACAACGAAAGAAAAATGTCTGAGGACTTCAGTGTTGAGGAAGAGCATGAGTTCTTTGCCGAGCTGAATGCGCTGGTATGGTCTGCCGGCTGGTATGGTCTGCCGGCGTTTTATGACTCATCCAATTCCACTAGTTTTCACTAGATGTGGATGGCGCCAATGATCTGCATTGGATGGCGCACATGACGTGAAATAAATATTTCTAAACATTAAACGGAAGCCAAGGGTAACGAGTAACGTTTGTTTTAAAAACGTAAGGAATATAAAGTACAGATACTTGTGTGACAATGTAATGAGTAGAAGTCAGAAGTAGGAAGAAAAATAAGTAAATGAGTAAAGTATAGATACCAAAAAAGTGTACTTAAGTACAGTAATGAAGTATGTGTACTTCGTTACTTGACACCTCTGAAGTAGGATCAGAGTTTTACTCTGCTATGACTGCGGAGCCAGTACTGCCTCTTTGGCTCACTTCATTAATTAAAAGGTGAACTATTCCCCTGTTTCTTTATTTTTATTGATACTTTGTTTCTGTGCCCCCATGAAAAAAACATTGGTCCCACCCTGGCTTCCCTTGTAAATCTGGTGTATAACCACCACTGCTGCTTTGGAAGCTCTTAGAAACTGGAGGAGTTACAGAAATCGACAGCTCAGGTGTGAAAGACTGTTGGCAAGATAAGGCTTAGATTAGTTTCATTAAATGTTCACTAGACAAAATGTGGCATTCATGTTAGAACAGGGACGTTCTGCCAGAAAACATATGGTGTAATCTGTCACTAAGTGGCTCTATCTTTAATATTTTATAATAAAACGGTCTAATATCAGTTTATGCAATTGATAGGGATCGATTTTTCGTCCTTTTTTACAGACTTCAGAGCCAGTTGAAGATGACTTCCCCTGCCAAGGCTGTAAATATTCAGCGATGAATGTGGTGTTACCTACTAATCCAAATGGAACTTATGCACCATTGCAGTATTTTGAATTTTGCCACTACTCCATTTATTTTTTTAAACAATGACTGACTTTCCTAGTTTGCACCATTTAGTGTTTTCTACTCGTATTTTAATCCGTCCATCTTCTGTACTCACATAATTCATGAATTATCATGTTAGAGGGTTGTTGACTAAAACCTCCTTCATTGCATGAGAGGTGGGATACAATCAGTGCCACACAGGACAACACATCTGCTCTTTGATGAAGCGATATACCTGCTTCCAGGTTTCAGGTTGCATAAAAAACTCCTTAAAGCGTTGAGTGAATTATCGTAAGATATCTCCCAAATTTTTGTGTACATACGCACAAAGGGAATTGTGGACAATTACAGTCATAAGAGCTTTGTGTGCAGAGTCTTTTCATGTCCTGTGCTGTGGGTCGGTACTTTCCCAGGATAAAGTGAAACATATGTGATGTAGATGTTCTAGAGAGCCATGCAGCTGTTTTGGAAACAGAATATATTGATGCAAGCAAAAGATAAAAAAAAAAAAAAAAATGCGTTCATAGAAGGGTTACATTTCTTATGAACAAAAGCTCTTAGCTGTCTAATCTTTTCTCATTATACTGTACACTGGTGGTCTTCTAGAAGTTTCCACCAATCCTAAAGGATACTAATACATACTAACTAGAGTGGCAATAGGTGACGAAAAATAATTTTTGTATTCTTATTCGCATTATCATAATTGCAATGTTAGCATTTAATTAAACAAACTGGTAAAAACAAAAGATCCAATAATGTCAACAGTAGTGAGTTAATAGATTATTGAAATAATGGTTAGTAATTGATTAATTATTTACTGGAGTATAGAGACTAAAACATGCCTTTGGCTGACAGAGCGACCAATTCAGACCAGTAATTATAACAAAATTGTAAAATATATATATATATATACACATTTTGCATTTAAAATGGCAACAAAATTTTCTCCGTCAATATGCTCGATCCAGAACTCCTAAAGTGGAAAAGAGTTAGGTTCACCCGGTTTAAATTCTGAAAAAGCAACCTTTTGATATTCAATTATTAATAGTATTCTGAGATGCCATTGTTAGGCCCCGATACCTGGCTGTGCAGTATCGGCCGATACCATACAGATACCATCTGTTTGAAATTGATGTGTGTGTGCATATAGGAAGAACTGCAAACTACTTGGATGTAAAATAATTGCCATCATGGCTTTGTCAAGCTGCTGCCTACCTTTGTGAAGCAACAAAAAGACTAATACAAAGTGAATCCAGTAGAACTTTTTATTGCCTACCTGGAATGGGTGACAATAGTTGAATAAACTTTTGGCTCTCAAAATGGTATTGGTGCCCTATCTGTTTGTACTCGCCGAATATGATAGTATCATTTAAGTACAGTATAGGGGCCCTGTCCAATACTGATATCGGTGCAACACTAATTATTAATCGATAAATTGAAAAAATAATAAACAGATTAATTGATTAGCAAAATATTCATACATTTCCGCACTAGTGAGAATAAGGGACTATTTGTTAATGGGAGATGCTAAAAAGTACTACCAATATCAACCCGAACTACACTAAATCATTAATTTTATCTCATTTGTTAACCGCACTGGATTATAGTATGTTAAAAATAAGTCATGCATAATTATTGGGGAAATTTGGTACATTTTCATGAACATAGATGAAAAAAAAGCAAAAGCCAATTCATGGAGTGCCTTCCTCACAGCCTGTTTGTTTAGTTTAGGGGACAAGTTATAAACGGGAGGAAGAGGGCGTCCCTGCTCCCTCTAACAGTTTAAACTTGCCACCTTTTGTTATTATTTTGTAGCTCAAAACTCAGCGGGTAACAAGACAAGTCCCTCACTGAACCACACTGCAATTTAAGAAAAGCACAGACAAATGTATACTGTCTCAACACAAACGCTGAATTACATAAGATTGTGAGGTTGGTAAGAGCCAGCTACTGAACCATGCATGCAATAGTGATGCAATGGCGGGTTTCAGCTTGACCCTTAGGAAAGAAAAGTGGACGTTGGAGAAGAGGGAAGCATAGATGTGGTGACATGTCAGGAAGTCCTCCCATCATACCAGATGTTTCAGAATTGTTTCTTAGAAAACATTACTCAACTCCACTAAAGTAGTCCCCACTGTTTGTACATTGAGCAACAAACAGAGTAAACCATACCTAAGCAAATAAGGGTGTGAAAGTAGCCCATATGTGAACAGGAGTTGTTTGCATACAGAAGGGAAAAAGGAACCAGCTAGAACTGCACTTAAGCTCTGCCACTGTTTGTGGTATTCATGTACAGGATAGCTTGGGAACCTTAGGATTTTATCTTTGCTTTTTGTAGATGATGTGGCTGTATTGGCCTCTTCAGGCCATGAACTTCAGCATGTAGTTGAGCAGTTTGCTGCCAAATGTAAATTTCAATTCAATTCAGTTTATTTATATAGCGCCAAATTCACAACACATGTCATCTCAAGGCACTTTACAGTTCAACCAGATCATACAATCAAATTGATACAAAGTTTTCTATCTAAGGAAAACCAGTTGATTGCATTGACTCATTGACTCAAATACAATCCCTCACACTAAGCATGCTTGTAGCGACAGTGGAGAGGAAAAAACTCCCTTTTAACAGGAAGAAACCTCCAGCAGAACCAGGCTCAGTGTGAGCGGCCATCTGCCGAGGCCGACTGGGGTTCAAGGAGACAGAAGCAGAGATACAAAAAGCAGCTGTAAAAGGTGATCCTGTCCAGGAAACACACAGCCAGGCAGACGAGCTCCGAGCCAGCTCCCATGCCAGAGGACGAAGAGAGCACATCCAGCCAGTCACAATCAGAGAAACAGGACCACACTGGAAAACAGGCCGATCTCCAACATCTATAAACAAGGGTGTTGATGGAAGCAGCACAGCTGATGTTTCTTTACAGGATGACGTCACAGCCAAACAGGAACAGACGAGGCAAAGCTACTCTGAGGAAAAGCAGAGAGAGCAGAAGGTTAGAGATTGAACCAACAGATTCTGCAGAATAGGAGAACAGAGAGAGAATGAAGCAGAATGATGAAATGGGGGTCCCTATGTCCTCCAAAAGTCTAAGCCTATAGCAGCATAACTATAGAGATAGCTCAGGATAACC